TGCTGGGACTTCTCACTATACGTATTTACAAGCACATGGCTTGTACGTATTTACAAGCACATTTACAAGGTCACACTGTAGTAATAAAGTTATAGCAGAAGATATCACAGTTCCTTTACAATAATAAGATTTTATTTTAAAAATGAATATAGAAATTACAAGCTTCAGTAATACGCAAAGGTATATTTTGGTCATTTTGAGATAACTTGATTTCAAATGTTGCTCAGTTAAAATGTATTTTTACCCATTAAAACCTCATTGGTGTTGAATCTGACCCATACCCATAGCGACCCTATAGGACAGGATGGCACTGCCCCATAGAGTTTCCAAAGCTATGGAAGGTGACTGCCACACCTTTCTCCCTTGGAGTGATGACCAGCCTCAAAGTTCAGACCTTTTGGTAGCAGCTGAGTACTCATGCACCATGTCACCAAGTCTTACAACTGTGTATTGAATACTAAATAATAGCATGTTCAAGACTCACACTGCATTGTATTTGTAACACTCCAGGGCTCAATAATGATTGTAACAGAAGCATTATCAATCATTTAAAGTATTCTATCAACACACACACACACACCATGAAAACTCAATACCATCTAGCAAATTCCAACTCATAATTACCCTACAGAGCAGAGCAGAATTGCTCGCTGGGGTTTCAGAAGCTGTAAAGCTTTATGGGAGAAGAAAGCCTTATCTTTGTCCTTGTGACCAGCTGGTGGCTTCAAACTGCTGACCTTATGGTTAGCATCCCAGTGTCACCCCATATAATGTAGAAATAGCTTTTCCTGTTGATTCAATAGATCACATTAATCAGATAAATTTGCTGTATATAGATCCAATTGACTATTAATGTTAATATATTGTTTAAATATGCCTTTACTTAATTTTCCATCATTTATTTCATTTCTGAAACTTATTTTAAATTATTCAATCAATATGTATTTACCACCCTCTGTTCAGATATTAAGCATACTCTCTAAGATAAAAATTGATTTTTTCCATATATCATAATTCCTTGTTAGAAGTTCAGTATATTTTTTTCTCTGAAATATTAATCATCTCAAATTAGTACTCTGTTTTTAATGTGATTAGCTTTGTGTGACTTTGTTGTAGGGTGTGGCATGTAGTTGATTAACGGCCAATAGAAGGGAATCCAGTGCTTTGCTCCCTTTGCAGGAGTAGGACTGGCATGGTGACAGTGGGACTCCATTTAAGTTTTCAGAAACAAACCCAAGCCACTACCATCGAGTTGATTCTCACTCCTAGAGAGCCTCGATAGAACAAAGTAGAATGATTCCTTTGGTTTCGGAAACTGTAGATGTTTGTGGGAGCAAACTCTCTCATCTTCCTTGAGCGGCTAATGAGTTTGAATCGCTGATTTTGTGGTTAGCAGCCTGGTGCTTAGCTCACTGAACCATCAGGGCCCCTTTAAATCTCTAAAGAGCGGAGCAAGTGGATAATTATATAACAACAGCTATTATTAATTGAGCGAGAACTTCAGTGAGTGTTGTTACATATACCTTCATATTTAAAGTCTGTTATTCTTGTGCTTTTCTTTGAGTATAAAAATATTCTATCTGAAAGTTCTAATAAAGAACATTATCTAATAGAAGGGTAAATCTGTCAATAGGTAGAATTATTCTGTTAATAATATCCATGCTATTATGGATTTGGTGGCAGATTTCAGCTTAATGATAAAATGTTTCAATACCTCCAGAAGTGTATTCATTTCTTAACTTATCCCACTGTATTTTTTTAAAGTCATGATTGATTAATAATGGTTTACCGCATTATGTACTAGAGATCCAAATGTGCTTTACTGGATTCTTTCAATACTAAATTGTAATGGAAAGCTAAAAGACAGTTCATAGTGCACATTGAGTTTTTGCTTAGTTGTACATTGTATGGAGAGAACTCCCTTCTGGTATTCTATACCTAAAATGCAAAACTATAAAAACTGAAATTCAGTTTTAAAATGTACTGTGCTAAGTAAGTACTTAATATGAACCGTTTGCACTGTTGCTTAAAACGGTCAATAATTTCTTTGCTAACAGAGAATAAAACCCAAACCCTACACATCCCATGTCTGGATTGTTAATCTTCTCACTCACTATTACCTCAGACCCTATTCACCATACTTCCTCCAGCCTGGTCTTCCTTCTGTGTGCCACCCCGCCAAGTTCCTCTTGAGAGCCCTTCTCGTTCTGCCTAAAATGCTTTACCCAGAGCTCCTGATGGCTCCTCCTTCTGATTAATGTCTCTCCTCTTTCTGATTAACGTCTCGTGACCACAGAAAGCCCATCTACTGTCTACTGTCACATTGTCCTGTTGGGTTCTTCCCCTTAAGTTCACTAAGTCACCTTACCTCCTTTGGTTCGTTGTTTTTGCCTACCTATCCTAACCTACCGCTCCCACTGACGCATATGTACCATAAGAGCAAACCAAGCAAACAAACACTCTGCCACTAAGGTAATTCCAATTCATAATGACCTTATAACACAGAGTAGACCTTCCCCTTTGGGTTCTCTAGGCTGTAAATCTTTACTCGAACAGAAATCCTCTCCCTTCTCCATGAGATCAGCTGGTGAGTTCTAACCTTGTGGTTAGGAGATCAGCATGGAACTTGAATACCGTATGGGATATTAGTTTTGATTGTACCCACGGTGTATAGAACAGTGCCTAGAATATGGCAATTGCACAATAAATGTTAACCGAATGAATGAATATCATGTTTTACAATAACCTTCTAAATTAGGTATGATTTTTATTAGACACATGAGTAATATTTCTCAACATTAATTAAACTGATAGTGTGCTCTGGGACTTAGAATGCATGTGATTCTAAAGCTGGTCATCTCTCTACCATTCTCTTTTGGTCAGTGGGGATTACATGGTTCTGAATAAAGTCATTAGCTAATTTGAAAGCAGTGCAGATTAGGCTTATAGACTAAATAATATTCAGTACCTTTGGAAAAGCTAAGTAAAAGTTTCGAAATAAGTTTTAAGATACTTTGAATGATCATTTCTGTATTTGAAAGCATAGGCAAAATATCAACGAAAATCGTGGTCACTACAAAAGGACTTTAAAAAGTTTGTGGAAAAATGGAACTAAAAGATAATAAAAATTTTCCATGAACTTTTGAACCCTCCACGTATTTATTATTTTTTATTTCTTTAAAACTCATTTATAATTTATGAAATTAAGGGGAAACCTCACCAAAACTATTTATACAGTGATGTTGTTTTGGAGATTGGCTAGAGATTGCTTTGTAAAAATTAAATCAAATGTAAATTGTTTGTCATCTAATTTATTCTTATACTATCTTTGGAGGATCAAAATCAATACTATACAGAGAAAATTATTTTGTATTTTATTATCAGAGTATTAAATATTATTTGTTACGACATCTATTGTACGGGAAGCCCTGGTAGCTTAGTGGTTATGCAATGAGCTACTAACCACAATGTCAGCAGTTTGAAACCACCAGCCTCTCCGCTGGAGAAAGATAAGGATTCTTCTCCTGTGAAGAGTTACAAGTGAAATTCTGCTCCGTCGTTTGGGGTCACTGTGAGTCAGAATTGGCTTGATGGCAGTGGGAAGACACTTTGTGTATGGTAGAACAAAATACTTATGTTGTTATGTAGGTTACCTGTTCCTGTATTTTCTTTATGTTTCTACCTTTGTTTTCTTCATGAAAATAACAACAGAAAGATAAATTCCTGCTCAAGGGGACCCCCAGCAGCTGTTATTTCTTAGCATATTTTATTTCTTATCTTCCAGTATAAACTTACCAGTCTTACATACATATCCTTTAGAATTATTTCAATAAAAATAAACTCATCATGAGATACATATTTACTTTTAAGACATACTAAACATACCTTTTAAACTTCAGAATTGTTTTTTCAATAGTAACATAAACATTTTAAATATTTACTAAATATTTAACACAACCATATCTCATAAGAATGTATCTGATTACAGATGATTTTACTCTATAAACTTCTGATTTAAAATATAAAATGGTGACAGATAATACTAAATGTCACTCTTACAGCATTTACAATAACTTAAAATATTAAGTAGGAAGAATTTAACATGTAGTATATAGGTATAAGTGTAAGTATATTAGTATGGATAATTTCTATGCTGAGGAGTTAGCAGGTGCGGTTGGGATATAATTTGGATAAGTATTATGTAATTCACACCTTATTTTTGGCTGGAAAACTTCAGAAGATGGAAGAGAGAGGATATTATCACTGAAGTGTTCTTAGCCCCCCACCAAAAAAATGAAGACTTATTCAGGCTTTCAGCTTAAGTTTGGCCTGGGAAAAAAAATGAGGATCATCTTTCCATTTTAGAAAGTAGGAATGAAGTGATTCTCATACATAAATTTGAGACAGTAGATTTTCTAATAATAATACATTGAAAGCCAAAATTGTGGGTCACTTAATTTTTTTCAGAGTCTCAGTGGCATCGAGGGTATGTGTTCGGTGCTAACCACAAAGTTGGCAAAGTCAGCAGTTGAAAACCAACAGCTGATTCTCCTGAGAAAGATGGGGCAGTTCTACCCTGTCCCACAGGGTAGCTATACGTCAGAATTGATTCAATGCCAGTGGGGGTTGTGTAGAACCTTTGGAACAAACCCATACTGTACCAACTTTTCTGGGTTTGATTTCTAGGTAAAGCATGGAGGTTAGCAGCCATTTTCTTCCGTGGGCTTGTGACTAGTATCTAGTATGTGAGTAGGAAATAATCATTTGAAATATTACTTATGGATTTGTATAATAGTTTTTATATGATTGATATACTAAAAAATTATATTTATTAATATGAAAGCACTCTAAAAAATAGGAACCACAAAAATGGGACATAATTTTATTTAGTATTGTTTTGATATTTTCAAAAGAGGGAGAACTAATTTTTATTCGTTTGAAAGGCCTTTTCCACATTTTCATATTTGACATGTGCCTTTTGTATGTGTTTGTACTTTCAGATAATCACAAAGACTGTTCTGGTGTGTCCTTACATCTCACACGTCTGCCGTAAGTCCTTCCAGTTAGTCAAGATTAATGACAACGATAAGACCGTTGAGAACTTGAAAGTGGAAATTTTACTGTATTAGTCATTTACTGCTACATAAGTAATTACCTTAAACTTAGTGGCTAAAAAGCACAAGCATTAATCATTTCATGTTTTTCTGTGGTCAGAAGTCCGTAAGCAATTTTGCTGGGTTGTCATCTCATCGCCTTGCTCCAAAGTGTGCATGGAGCTGCAAGCATGTCCAGCACTCTGTCCGTCCTTGCCAGCGGATGCAGTCCACCGCCCTCTTGGTTCTTTGCCCTGCGGCTTCTCAGTCATACCGCTCATAACAGCTAAGGGCAAGCACGCAAGCAATTAGGAGAGGTTGCAGAAGATAGAAGCCAGAGTCTTTTAAAACGTAATTCCAAAAGCATTATGCCATCATGTAATCATAATTCGGACATTAGAAATAAGTCACTAGGGTCCAGTCCACATTTGAGAAAGGAGATTAGATGAAGATGGGAATGTGGAGCTAGGTATCAGGGGTTGCCATCTAGAGGTTGTCTTCCACATTCACCAGGTCATAAAAATGTGTATAGAGCTATTTGCTGAAGAAAGAGCATGAATTTTAATTAAAAGATATTCATTTCCCATATAATTTCCTTTTAATCTGTATAAGAATCATATTTTACAGACTCATCTCTTGAGATATCTTATTTTTACAAGGCAATTTTTACTCAGAAATTTCAGAAAATATTTTTTTTCTACAGACAGCCTTTAATTGCTGGCATGTACCTTATGATGTCTGTTGATACTGTTATACCAGCAGGGGAAAAAGGTAAGCAATAGTGTTTTATAGTTTACCATTACTTCATTATCAAATCTATAGAAGCAAATTTTTAGTATTCCTAAATAAACTTTTGAAATAACCAATAATTATAGTCCCTGAAAAATAGACCAATTGTTTATTATCCTTGGATTTAGAATCAGCCTTGATATTTTTACAAGCTATTTGTTTATTACTTTTCTACGCATTTATAATGATGCTAAGAATTGAAGCCCATAGGGAGGTAAATTTAAAGAATAAAATTGTAAGTAGTTTATAAATTGATCATCCTTTTCCTAGATGCAAAAGACAAACTAAATAATGTACAGAAGCCTAAGGTACAGCATAGATAATCAAGATCAAGAGCCTAGCAATTATAACACTGATTCAGTCTTTAAATTTAAATATCCTTGGCCTACTTCCACATCTGTGAAGTATAAATAATAATAATAACCGATGTCCCTAACATAACAGAAACGTCTAAGTTCAGTAATATGGTTTACCAATATATGTCTGACTTTCTTTTAAAGAAAATTATTATTACCAATAATTGGATATTTATTTTTGAGTTGAGAGGGAATCTTAAAATTAAATAACTAGTAAATATTTTATGATCATTAATTTATTATATAACTATTATACTAGGCTGTACAGAAGGAAAGTGTGTAAGTCTAGTCACTTTGTGTTTGCGTTCAAATATTTTAAAATCTCTTTGTTCTAAAGATGAAAATGAGTCTTTTCAGCTGCATGAACTCCAAGGTTAAAGTAACTCTTAAACTTAAGGTTTCACTAACAGTATTGATTGGACTGTAGTTATTTTCTCTATGAAATAATAATGTGGGGGTACAAGGTTCTTCATTTAGCTTAGCAAAGTGGCTGACATGTAAGTGTTCGCTGTGTGCTAGAGACGTCAGCGAATGTGTGTTCCTTTATTAAGAAATCTTGTTTCTAGCATCTTATGAATATCCTATCCAGACGTTTTCCTAAAGTATAATGTTGTTTTCTAATTTAACCGTGGCTTTTTTTCCTGTTTTTATTTCTAACAGTGGTAAATTCTGACATTTCTTGCCATTATAAAAACTATCCAATGCATGTCTTTGCCTACAGAGTTCACACTCACCACTTAGGTAAGAACTTTAAGCTGCATGCTAAATATGACAAATCTGCTTTAAAATATATTTATAATGATAAAGGATAAAAATGCTAACTAGCACTATCAGTTTAATATATAAATTTTATTTCACCTTGTATCTATTTGAATGACAGAGAATTTGTACAATAGCTTGACGTTTTCATGCTATTTTATAATACTCTTCTCAATTAAGAGACCCAGCATTTTGAGTTCCAAAGATATTCAGATTTTTATGTTAAAATATGTATCTTAGGCAGATTCTCTAGAGAAGCAAAAGCAATGAAGCGTATATATGTGTATATATAGATAGAAATTTGTATCAAGAAATTAGCTCACACAATTGCAGAGGCTGGCAAGACCAAGGTCCGACAGGTCCCAAGGTGGTGGTGGTTGTGGGTCAGAGGCTGTCTGGAGGCTTCCCCTGAATGGACTGAGGGACAGAATGCAGAGAGGCTGAGGGCTACAGAAGCAATGAATCCAAGGTCAGCAGGTCAGAGTGCAGGCCTCTGACAAGTCCCAGGCCTGGGCAGCAATGTAGCAGGCTCTATGGCTCAAGTCCAACAAGCTGGAGGTCAGGGAGCCAGAGACAGGGTCCAGACCGAGGAAAACGCAAACGAAGCTTTTCCAGGGTTCCACACCACGGAGGAAAGTTCCTTTCAATTGCAATCAGGGCCATGACCTGAGTATGGATGTTACAACTCGCCCTAATCTTCTTATAACGGATTGGCTGCTCATAGCAGATCCTATTATGGAAATGATTACAGTGTGTTGGGCCACATCATGGGAGGTTACTGCTAACCAAAACCAAATGCATGTCATAAAGTTGATCCAGGCTCATACCGACCCCATAAGACATAGTCGAACTGCTCCCATGCGTTTCTGAGACTGTCACTCTACGGGAGTAGAAAGCCTCATCGTGCTGACATTGGGCTTGTTAGCACTACACCATCAGAGCTGCTCTAGAGGGTTATTAGGGGTATGTGTGTGTGTAGCAAATCATATTGTAAATTAAGTGGGGACTTTCATTTCCGATCATCAACTTTATATTCAACACTATCAATTTCCAACATCTGGTCTGTTTGGTATGAAAGTTTTTAATCCTGTTTTTGTTTTTGTGAGTTTTTCCTCTTAGAACCATGATCTCATATAATACACGACCGAGCAATTCCTCTGCTAGGGTATATATCCTACAACAGTAAGAGTTACAGCAGGAACAGACTCACGAACTGCTCACAATAGCACAAAGATGGGAGCAGTCTAAATTCCCACCAGAGAACGAATGGATCGAGAAACGCTATCTACATAATGGAAGAGTGTAGATAATGACGAGGCTACTTCATGACGTAGATGACCTGGAGAACATTATGCTGAGTGAAATAAGCCAATCACAAAAGGATAAATATTCTATGAGACCACTAGATCTTAATTGTGACACCACTGAAAATGCTGATCAATTTGATCAACTATTAAAATAGGAAAGTAGTATGCTTTTTTCTTATGGTTCTCATGTATTTCTGGTAATGAGCGTAGCTTGTGTTTCTTATAGGTAAGGTAGTAAGTGGATACAGAGTGCGAAATGGACAGTGGGCGCTGATTGGACGACAAAGCCCCCAGTTGCCACAGGTGTGTAGAATCTAACTTATTTATCATAAGAAAGACATTAACCCTCACACAGTAATTAAAAAAAACAAACACCATCATAGGACTTTTGTGATTTTAGAAATTAATAAGTCTCTGAACACTATTGCCATTTTTACAATTTCCAATTTAGTGCTACTCTTATCAATTATCTTATTTTTTTCTTCTTCAATTCTTTTTCTTAATTATGATGAATTAGTTATTCTACAAATCATTTGTAATGTTATATTGCCTAACTATGCATAAATATAACGATGACTAAGTACAAGTGAAGTAGACTCTAAAAACACTAACATTTATTATATACTTACACTTGATACCTGAGTTTATAAATAAATACATAAATGGATACATCGCTTCCATCTTCTCTCTCTCTCTTTTTTTTTTTTTTTGGTGATACAACCTTGAAGTTTTGCTTTTGTTTTTGTTTTTGTTTTAAATACTTTTATTGGGGGCTCATATATCTTATTACAATCCATGCATTCATCTAGTGTGTCAAGCACATTTGTACATCATCAAGTTCAAAGCATTCTCTTCCCACTTGAACCCCTGATGACAGCTCCCCATTTCTTCTCTCCTCCCTTCCCCCGCCTGCCCTCCTTCACAACCCTTGAAAAGTTAAACATTTTTTCTATATCTTACATCACCCTCCTGTCTCCCCTCCCCCACTTTTCCATTATTAGTCCCCCTAGAGGGGGTTTTAGGTTGATCCTTGTGATCTATTCCCCCTTTCTCCCCACACCATCCCCTAATCCTCCTGGTATCTCTAATCTCCTTGTTGGCCCTGAGGGGTTTATCTATCCTGGATTCCCTGTGTTGCAGGCTCTTATCTGTAGCAGTGTGCATGTGCTGGTCTAATCCGATTTGTAACGCAGAATTGAGGTCATAATAGTGGGGTGAAGGAAGAGCCAAAGAACTAGAGGAAAATTGTGTGTTTCATCAGTGCTATGCTGCCCCCTGACTGGCTCATTTCTTCCCTGTGACCCTTCTGTGAGGGGATGTCCAATTGTCTACAGATGGGCATTAGGTCTCTGCTCCATGCCCCAACCCCCAGCCCCAATTCACCTTGGGTATGGTTTTATTCTGGGTCTTAGATGCCTGATACCTGATCCCATCGATACCTCATGATCACACAGGCTGGTCTGCTTCTTCCATGTGGGCTTTGTTGCGTCTGAGCTCTTGTTATTTTTAAGCATGTTGGCAAAATCTTTTCAACTCATAAATTAATCAGAAAAAAATCTCAGGGATGAACAATCTGGAGGAGAAAACAACGGGACTGACAGTTCCGGGGGGACATGGGAGAGGGGGAGGA